AACTATACTAATAACACAAGAGTGGTTCAGCCCACAAATAAATATTTAATTATAAGAAAACAGAACTATCAGCATACAAATTACATATACTATACACATAAACAGGATAACAAGATACTGCCCAATATTATTGTATAGTAGGCTCTCAATGGCGATCTGGTCGAATAAGTAAATCCCACACACACACACCACAGCAGCCCTCTGCTCGGGTCACAACGTACTGCGGGGTTGGGCGGCTTGACTGCGTAAGTGTCTCCGGTCACTGGCACTGCGAGGAGGTAGGTGCCGACTTTGAACTTTACTGTGGGTAACACACACACAGTATATGCTACCGTCTTGTTGATTCCTTTGGCTTATCTTCTGCTAATAACTGCGACTCCTTTACTGAACTGTACTAGCTTTAGTTCCAGATATTATTTATTGAACACCTCTGACCAAATATTTACTTTACAAAGACTTTCTGGTCAAATATTCTTTACTGGCCAACTGTTACATACTGTAACTTATTTCATGTAATTTCTTCACTTTAAGTAACTTCAGTTTACTTCACTTTACGTAACTATACTTTACTTAACTTAACTTAGCTTTACTTAACTGTACTTAACTTAACTGGCTAGAAATGAGAATAATAAATACAATGCATAAGACATAGCTAAGAATTACAAATCACATCACATTATAAATTATTAATAGTTATCATATTCAAACATTAACAATAGTAACTATGGTCCTACCATTTTCTTAATAACATTACATCTACGACTCTACATACCAGTACATATGAATATGAAATAGAACAATACTAACCCGACACAATCGGATAAACACACTTTATCAGCTAATTATGCCAGCCAGGCTCTTCTGACATAATTCAGGTAAGAGAGGCCGATACATGATTTGGGCTTTCAATATATACTCTAAGTTTGGCGTGCTTGTCCCGCATTTAAGCGTGGCATCCCAGAGTCGTGTTTAAATGACTCACAAGCGTGGCTTCGGATTCCGTTACGCGTTGGTCATCAGAGTGACAACTCAGAGTTGGGACGCTTGATAAGAATGAGTGTATTGCTTAAACTGGGTCATGGCCAAAGTGAATAAGTTAATTTCCATTGTTATTTGAGTCTACTTTTATTATTTTAAGGCCCAGCCTAATTGTGTCATATCGCGTGGGGTAGCGATGAACGCGTGGGGAAGCGATGGAGAGAGTGGAGCCAGCGGGTCTCACAAAAGTGAGGACCAGCGGGTCTCAACAAATAGGCTCCCCCCATGACTGCTCACAATAATACAGTCATTTCACAAAAACATGCACAGCACAGTAACTTTCAATGGCACTGTCTCTGAGTCATTCCCAGTCAGCAGCGGCGTAAGCCAGGGGTGTGTGTCAACTCCTATACGTCTTCTTGGATTGATTACATTCGTCAGTTCTTTCATACGTTGAAGCGTCGTACTATTCTCACTATCATAGATCAAACTCAACTCCTTTTGATAATAACTATAACTTTAATATCTAAGTAAATATAATAAACATCCTATCACTCCAAGGTTCCACTCAAGACTGCCGCACGGCTAAAACATACGTCACAACACTGCATAGACAATACGTCACGACTCAGCATAAAAATACGTCATAAAGACAATGGCGGGAAGAGCGTTCACTAACTATAATAGTCAAGCGCGGGAAAAGCGTTCAACAACTAATGAACATAATATTGAGTCGCAACAATTCCTAATGAACGCTCATACTCGACAGTGTGTACTGGCACCAACGCTCTTTTCAATTTTCTTTTTGATGCTCCTTCAATTTGCTTTCAGTGACTGTGAAGATGGAGTGTACGTCCACACAAGATCTGATGGAAGACTGTTCAATATCGCCCGCCTTCGTGCAAAGAGCAAAGTAAAAAAGATGCTGATTCGTGAACTGCTGTTTGCTGACGATGCCGCCTTAACATCTCATACAGAAGAACGTCTGCAGGGGCTGGTTAATCGCCTATCACATGCTTGTATGGAGTTTGGACTTTCGATTAGTCTACAGAAAACTCATGTAATGATGCAAGAAGCACCGTCCCCTCCAATCATATCTATTGAGGGTCATAATCTTTCGGTTGTTGATCATTTCACATACCTGGGATCCAATATTTCTAGTCCTCTCTCCGTTGATGAAGAGCTCAATATCAGGATTGCAAAAGCAGCAGCAACTATGGCTAAACTGAATAAGCGGGTGTGGAATAATCTCAAGCTAACTGATAAAACAAAAATAAGTGTCTATCAGGCATGTGTGCTATACACGCTCCTATATGGCAGTGAAGTGTGGACCACATACACCAGTCAGGAGCGGAAACTCAACAGCTTCCATCAAAGATGTCTGCGTCGCATTTTGCGCATTCGTTGGCAGGACAGGGTGCCTAACGTGGAGGTCTTGAAACGTGCACACATGTTTAGCATATTCTCCTTTCTTATCAAGAGACACCTTCGCTGGTTAGGTCATGTACGGAGAATGGAGGAAGAACGTATCCCAAAGATTCTGCTGTATGGAGAGTTGGCAGAGGGGACAAGACATATTGGAAGACCATGCCTGAGATTTATTGACGTTTGCAAACGAAGCATGAGGGAAGCCAATATTGAAATAAATGAATGGGAGTCCATTGCCGAACATCGCTCCAACTGGCGTACAGAAATGTTTGGTGGAGTGAGAAAGGCAGAAGTTACTTGAAACGAGGCCCTCGAAACAAAAAGAACAATTAGAAAATCAAGAATTTACCGGGTTTCAACATTCTCCTGCGAGAGATGCGGCCGTGATTGCCATTCTAGGATTGGCCTAGTGAGCCACTCGTCAAAGTGTAGAACTATAGAGCTACTCCATCGTCTCACGTAGATGGAAGGATGCCATAATAATAATTATATATGCTCAGATCCTTAGGTCAATTTTTGGAGCCATCCCTTTGTGACGGTGGCCGGCATGAAGGCTGTACACCCTGATATGTCACAATCCATGTACACAATCTTGCTAAACACACCTGGCACGGCGTGTTTGACTTGGACGTCATTGGTATGGTCAGTTGACTGGTCACCATAGATGTACAAGGTGTCCAGATAGGTTACAGCCCCGTGCACTGTCCAGTCACAGCCCCAGAGTTTGGTGACGTATTCAAAGTCAACTACGTCTGACTGAGGTTTGACCACTTTCCACACGTCTCCATTGGTTTGTAGAACGTACGTGTGTTGGTCATCTTTGAATGTGGTCAGTTTAATGGTCGGACCTTGGAGAGTATTTAGTCTTGTCCACTCGTCTTGTACTGTATCATAGCAATGGATGACCGTCTCGTCAGCACCCTCTGTAGTCTGTGAGACAAACATCAAAATCTTCTTCTCAAACTTGGTGGCGTGTTCGATAACACTTTTATTGGGTAAAGATTTTAATGACGTCATTGCTTTAGACGTGACATCAAACCTTTTGAACTCTCGAGTCTTACCTTTTAAAATGTAAATGTGTTGATCCATTGTAACAATGGACATTTCAGATTCAGGAAAACTCTGGAAATTCTCCGATGTCCAATTGCCGTTAAAGAAACGACCATATTGCAGTTGTGTGTTGGAACATCCAAAGTACCATATTATATTCCCATAAACTGTGAACTGTATGTCTCTGAAATTTCCGGGTATATTTTGTATGGGTATTTTCAACCAGTTTTTCCGAGTAAAAGAATATACTTGAATGCCGGATACAGTTTTAGATTCCGCTTTTTCTCCATCACTTCCAAACAGCACTGCTCTAACCTGCACCGTTTTAAGAACCGGCACAAGTGCGACATGGTCCATCACGCTATCATCTCTATGGATGGCTGCTGAGGGCCACTGGCCATGTCTTTTGTCCACCTGAAGTTGATACAGAATGGCTTTCGTTAGAATCTCCCTGGCTTCTCTGTTTTCTGTGAAAATCTTTTCAAACAACATCTTCTCTAGACAATCTGTGCTCGCCAAACATGTTCTAGCAGTGGAAAGTAGATCTACTAATTTTATCGATCTGTTAAACGTTTCGATTGGACAAGATTGCATTTCGTCATTTCCTGTTTTCAAGGAATTCATTTCTTTTGTTGAGTCACGTGATTCCTGACCTGATTCTTGGTTATTTCGGTCCTTGTCCAAAAGAATTTTTTGTTTTTTGTTTCTTCTTTTTTTCTGTTTCTGTTCCTCGCTGCCTGAAAACAGTGATGGGTCAGACAGTTCGTCTGAGGACAACTCACATTTTCTGGTAACAATTTCTTTGGAAACACATTCATCAAGAAGTTGGTTTATCTTTTTATCTCCGAATTCCACCCACCGAAGGATGGAGTCCAGCACAATATCCTCAGATTTCACCACCAGATCTTGTCCGCCAATTAACTGATGGATTTCTCCAAACGAAAGTCCCAGGAAAATATCGCTTTTGGTGAACTCTTCGTATGTTTTTTTAATGAAACCCCAGACACTGTCCAACACAAAGAAAGGGCTCAACAGCTTGGCACAGTGGAAAATTTCTTCGTAATTGTCCAACGACAAATGTCTGATGACAAAATTTTCACATTCTTGGATCAGAAATTTAATCTGAAGCTGATGGACAGCGTGCCAAATGTCAATGACATTGTCATTTGTCAGAACGCCGTGACCTGTGTACAAAGCTTCTAAAACCAACTTGAAAGTGTCACTGGAAATATTCTGTAAGGTTATATTCTGTGCATCGCTTTCTTTCATCCCGGACCTGAAAAGTCCACGGAAAAACCCAGAACAAGCCCCGAGTATGAACCTGTGACAGCTAAACTTGGTGTGTCCAATCTCAATAGTAAAGTCTCGAAGTTCTTCGTCTTGCCACAGATCACTGATGCCTTGGACGATGCCGTAGGCAACTTCTCGTTTGATGGCCATTTGGGGATTGACTTCCGTGGATGATATCTGTGGATGAGTTCTGTGGATGAGTCATGTGGATGATTCATGTAAATGAGTTCTGTGGATGTGTTCTGTGGCTGAGTTCTGTGGATGTGTTCTGTGTGTGAGTTCTGTGGATGTGCTCTGTGGATGAGTACTGTGGATATGTTCTGTGGATGAGTCATGTGGATGAGTCAAGTGGATTTGTTCTGTAAATGAGTTCGGTGGATGAGTTGTGTTGATGAGTCATGTGGATGAGTTCTAAGGATGAGTTCTTTGTGGATGTGTTCAGTGGATAAGTTATGTGGGTGAGTTCTGTCGATGTGTTATGCGGATGTTATATGTAGGTGTGTTCTAAGGATATGTTCTGTTGATGAGCTCTATTGATGAGTTATGTAGATGAGTTCTGTGGATGATTTCTGTGGATGTATTCTGTTTATAATATATATTTGGATGACTTATGTGGATGATTAATGTGGACGAGTTCTGGGGATTATTTCTGTGGATGAGTTCTGTGGATGATTTCTGTGGATGTATTCTGTTTATAATATATATTTGGATGACTTATGTGGATGATTAATGTGGACGAGTTCTGGGCATTATTTCTGTGGATGAGTTCTGTGGATGATTTCTGTGGAATATTTAAATTGGACGCTTAATGGCGAGTAGAAGAACGATAAAAGAAAAAAGAAGTATGCGACATATGGTATCGTATGCTAGCTTGAGGTATCGTCTCCTAATACTCCTAACATGTGTTATCGTCTGCTAACATGAGGTATCGTCTGCTAACTTGAGGTATCGTCTGCTAACATGTGGTATCTTCTGCTAACTTGAGGTATCTTCTGCTAACTTGAGGTATCGTCTGCTAACATGTTGTATCGTCAGCTAACTTGAGGTATCGTCTGCTAACTTGAGGTATCTTTTGCTAACATGTGCTACCGTCTGCTAACATAAGGTATCGTCTGCTATCACGATGTAACGTATGAAGCTCTGGGTATAGTCATCATAAGAACTTATAGCTCGCTATGTCCATAGAAAGGGATTGTAGTACGCCCTGGCTGGGGGCCCTTGAGTCCATTGGGCTAAAGCATCGAACATGTAATACGGTGAAAATAATAAAGAAGATGAAATAAAACGTGGAACCAATTCACCTTCAATGTTAGCATTTAGCATTTTGTAACTTTTAAAAATCCAAAGTTACCGCACTTTTTGTGTTAACACCGTACCGTACTTAATCGAAAAAGAACGACGGTCTGTCTCGGTCTCAATAAGCCAATCAGAATATTAAAAAAAAAAATTGTTGAACGCTACTGTTGCTTATCGAGTGCATTTGGCCTCAGTGCTATAATATCATGTTTTCCCTTTTATTGCGCAACGGCTTTCCACGTTTCAGATGTCTTCTCCCTTCGTATTTAAACATTTAAAAATGAAATTTCGTACCACAATAGTAAGGGGGCGTCCATTAATTACGTCAACAAAATAGGGGGGGGGGGGGGGCGGGGGGTTTGGAAATGTTTGACTGTTGTTGACAAGGGGCAGGAGGGGGGGGGAGTTTAGATTAGTTGAAGTCAACAATCATGTTTTTTTTCTATTAGAATGTTAATCTTAAAAATTGACTTGTACTTAAATTATTTTAAACAATTTAATAAGTGTTTAGGCTTTTCGCGATATAAGAGTTATTTAATATTTCTGTCTGTGCATTGCAGATGTCTGATAAGAATTTTAGCACACTTTGTTAGTGCAAGAGAAGTCAAAAGTTGGCATCTCTTCACCTTTCATTTTTCTCTTAATCTGCTCCCTAAAATGATTAATACATCATTGTACACGGTGTTCAATTTTACAATAAAAACAAAAAAAAAAAAACATCATCGGTGTTCAATAAAAACTATCACAAACTCTAAGACAAAGAGAGAGAGAGAGAGAGAGAGAGAGAGAGAGAGAGAGAGAGAGAGCTTATGGCAACTATTGCTCACACCGACAATGAGAGAGCTTATGGCAACTATTGCTCACACCGACAATGAGAGAGCTTATGGCAATGATCGCTCACACCGACTTCGATTTTAAATGCTGAATAGTTAGATATGGATGATGTTGACTTGTCAGGTATATCAGTTCCACAAAGTGAAAATGATAAATCAACTACTATACACTATCTATGCCCAATAGGGGCGTCATTTTAGGTTTTTTTCAGGGGAAGGGAGGGGAGGGGGCAAAACCAAAACTTGGTCGGCTTGGTAAGTTGTTTATTACTGGAGGCGCTACAATACATAGCAGTTTAAATAAAAACCTGCAAATTCGGGGGGGGGGGGGGGGGGGGGGGGACTAGTGCCCCCCCCCCCACCCAAATGATGTCACTGATGCCCATTTTTACGATACAGCAACACCTGGCTATAACTCCATGGGAAGATGATAGCAGCTAGAAACTATTACTATAATTGTCAGTGTTACGACTTTTGTTATACTTGAAATGTTACGGCCCTCTTGCGTTGTCTAGGGTGTATGAATCTCTCAAATAAAACACAAGGTCCAGTGCAACAATATATAATATTTTATTATTATTTCACAAAACAGGATACAGCTATTCAATTGACAATATACGTTATGGCGCGTGGAACACACATCAGTCCAACTACCAATTATCCACTCGCTCCTATCGCTACTGACTAACTCTTAACTGATAACTTTCGACGACTAACAATTCTCTTGCTCTTCTAGCTTTCTTCTCTGACCTCTAGCTAACACACAACCCTTTTATAATACCACACCACCAACTCAGCCTACGCTAACGTACCACACCACGGACTAACTTCACGCTCTGACCTCACGATCAACAACTCACAAAACACGATTCACGACTCCCCCTACCCAACATTCACAACAAACTAGTTCACAACAGTCAGATATACTGACAATAATCATATATATACTTCACAAACAATGATATTTAGTCCTTAAAAACCTTTTAAATGATTCTGCATTATAAAATGTAAGTGTAAAAACTATTTAATAAAATGATTTCCCTACAGTTGTATGTGTCATTTAAATAGATCATCACAAAGTCAAATGTATTTATATATTTATTTATATTATAATTCTTTTTTTTTTGTGGGGGNATACCGTAATGTCTAGCCTAACCCTAATACCGTAATGTCTAGCCTAACCCTAATACCGTAATGTCTAGCCTAACCCTAATACCGTAATGTCTAGCCTAACCCTAATACCGTAATGTCTAGCCTAACCCTAATACCGTAATGTCTAGCCTAACCCTAATACCGTAATGTCTAGCCTAACCCTAATACCGTAATGTCTAGCCTAACCCTAATACCGTAATGTCTAGCCTAACCCTAATACCGTAATGTCTAGCCTAACCCTAATACCGTAATGTCTAGCCTAACCATAATACCGTAATGTCTAGCCTAACCTTAATACCGTAATGTCTAGCCTAACCCTAATACCGTAATGTCTAGGAATTTTTTTCTGTACAGTTCTCTTATCACCAGATTTAGGGGGAAGTAAATTGTACAATTTAAAAAAAAAATAAACTCAATAATTATTTTAATGTAGTTTTTCTAGCTTTTAATTGCTAGTTAACCATTTTAAATAGAAGAATACTATGAGAAGCACGTGTTCGATGACTAAAAATAAAATGGTCCGTCTATTGCAGGGGTTTTAAACTCGCGGCCCGCAAGACGATATTTTGTGGCCCGATACCTGACAGCAAAGTTTAGTGTTAGTGTGGCCCGCGCGTTTTCCCCATTGTTATATCTATAATGTGACCCTCGCGATGGTATCAGTCGAATCTCACCGACCGGTCTAACTCTGATGTTTATTATGTTTGTATAGATTTGGACGTTCATTAAAATGGTAAGAACCGTTTTAAAATTGGACTAAAAGTTTTATCTTTATTTTATAGCATTTTATGAAACAAACTTGGCCAAAGTGCGGTTTTGAGAAAAGCTTAAAAAGTCATTTAGTGGGTAATGCACAACCATAATTGTGTCATTTGTAGCAATCGGACACAGCATCAAAGAATCACTTTTAAAATGCCGCTAATGTTCACGAGTGAGGGAAATTCCGAACCTGTCAGCTTGGTCACTTTCAAAATAGGGTTAGTCAAAAAGGTTTTTTCTACCATAAAAAAATCCCTACAATAGCATCCTCTTTCTCATAAATAATTAATAAATATTGCCTGCTACTGCCTACTGTTTGAACACGGTTTAGCCTTCAAAGCCTTCATGGAGAAGGATGGGTAGGATGGGGTGGTTGTTCCTGTACTAAGTGATCCTAAATGGTTCATGGACTTAGCTTGTCTTGTTGACATTACAAAGGAGTTGAATGTACTCAACAAGAAGTAACAAGACCAGGAGCAGCTTTTCAGTGTTGCCTATGACAATGTCAGGGCATTCTGCACAAAAATTGTGTTATGATTATTAGAGAAACCTCTCCCATTTCCCAACATGTCAAACTACTCATGTGCTCGGGCACACCCTTCATTAGTAATTAAATTGACATTGAAAAGCTACAGGAAGAATTTGATCACACGTTTGCAAACTTCTAAACACATAGAGCCACTTTACAAATTTTTCACATTTTCGGAATGACATCGCGGGCCAGATTTGGCCCGTGGTCCAGACTTTCAGTCACCCCGCTACAGGGAAATCTGACCCTAGAATAAAGCTATTGCAATAAACCTATAATCATTTTTATAATCATTTTTATAATGGTATTGTAACTAACTTATGGGGTGTTGTAACTAAGCTTTCTTATCCCCTTACCTTTCCAATAGGCCGCATTCCTAATGAATTGTTCATTCCAAGTGAGCAGATGGCTGTGTGTATGAATAGGTTGAGTGCTGGTTGGATGGTTGTGTGAGTGTGTGGAATAATAGGCGGATTGATGGGTGGCTCGTTGGAATGATGGGTGGCTCGTTGGATTGATGGGTGGGTTGATGGGTGGCTCGTTGGAATGATGGGTGGCTCGTTGGAATGATGGGTGGCTCGTTGGAATGATGGGTGGGTTGAATGCTAGTTGGGGGTAAATGGATTATTATGTGGACGAATAAAGAGATAGGTGGGTGGATTAATGGGTTTCAAAATGAATTATGTATTAGTAACAGTGAGTGGATAGATCAATGGGTCGTCATTTAGCTGGGCATGTTGGACGATGACGTGATTAAGATTGTCTGATATTTAAGAACAATTGAATGTCTGATATTTAAGAACAATTTAAACAGACATTGCAAGCAATATAAAACTTTAAGTTATAAATTAAATATTCAATAAGCTTACACCAATAATATGTTTCCCAGACTAACAAGCGCTAAATACCGACCGTCATTAAGCAACCGTAAACACAAACAATTAAAAAAAAAATAGAGTACAAACAGATGTACCTATTTGAAATTGGCTGCGTATAACCCTGAGAGTCGTTTGAAATTTGAACCTACATTATTACCGGGTCTGCGTTGTCACCTTATTCTGACGAGGTTTAGAATATAAATTGTTCGTGTATAAAAACTAAACGTTGTAAGAAAAATAAAATAGACTTGACAGTAGCTAAGAAATAAATCTGCTCTTACCTCCTTAACTGGAAACATTACTGATGCCGATAGTCTGGCCTGTACCAGGAATGCTGGTTACAGATACGTCTGGCCTGTACCAGGAATGCTGGTTACGGATGAAAGGGATATCGAAACTGAAACCGTCCCTCAGTCTTGAGGTTTAGCTGCTTCCATAAGAGAAATTAAAAATGATAGACATCTATTTGATGAATTCGATTTAACGATATGAACAAAATTGTTAAAATTGCCAGCCTGGTGGACCATTCGACCAACTGATAGGCTGATGCGGCGTTCGGCAACTAGCGGCTCCGGAGAACCCCTTAGCCCTTAGGCCTTAGGTAGAGCCTTTGATTCATTGAGTGATACTTACGGGGAGGTGCGGGTGAGAAATTGACGAAAATGGCAAATTTTGAATAATTTTTTATTATTGTTTATTTGGTTTTATTAACCATTTCTTTATTACATTTTTTATTTGTTTTTACAAAAGTAATTTAGAAAATATAATAAATTACACATTTCCTGACCCTATCTACTATCATTAAAATGTCAAAATTGCCTGCCTTATTTTTTAAGTGTTTTTACTCCTTTGTCTTTGTTATGAGTATTTGAATGGCCCAATCCCAATTTATTTGATATGGTTGGAAAGATGGTGATTTCTGGAACAAGATAAATATAGCTTTCGGTCACAAAGAAAATTACAAAAGCAACCGAACCTTTCGATCGCCGGTAATGTCTATCAAAATTTGGTATTTTCCTGTCCTACTTCGTGTATCACGTGATCTAGCCCTGAACTTAGAATAAAATAAGGATTTTGATTGGTTCCTGTGTAGGAAATCTGTTTGTAAAGTTCACTTCCGGTATAAATAAACCGTACTCTAATTTCGTGAGGCCTAACTAATAAAATCATTTGAGGAGTTAAAAAACAACTAAACAAGTATATAACCAAACAAAATGAGTTGGCTTTCATTAAGTGCCATGATAAACATGACTAATGCTTCTCCCTTTCGGAGAAGACTACTACTGAGTACACTAAACTACTAAGCCTACTCCTAGTCGTCACCCTAGCCCTAGTGTCCCTAGTGACAAGTGATAGTGCTAGTGCTAGTCGCTTCATCAACTTCAAGCATCGCTACGCTTCTTCACTAGCAGGAAAAACCTAGAAAAATACCATGCAAATGACGTCATGGGTAGTAATATAATAATTAGCCATTACTATAACTAATAAATAAAATAATAAAAAAGTATAAGTGCAAGTATAGCCTTCATTCTCAATTCTATAGTCTATAGTGAGTACACTATAGGCTTGGCCTTATGAATAATTGATACCGTACTTTACCATAGTAATAAACACTGAACACTGTTATTGTAGTGATAATGAACTGTAGTAAAATAAAACTTATAAACAATTTATGACTTTAGTAATTGTGACATTTGCCCTACACTGTACTATATTATTTTATAGCTATTAAAAACATTCCGACAACTCCTGCGACGTCACTGGTGCCAAGCTGTATCATCCAATGATGTTCCCTTGGGTCACCCAGCGGCGTGGAGAGAGGCGATTTGCTGTTGGGAACCAGCTTATAATCCTCAAGTATAATAATCCCAGGCTATGTGGATTTCGTCCTACGAAGCCCACTCCATCGTCACATTGTGACGGACGGATGCCAGCAAAAAAAAAAAAGCTATTAAAATGGTAAAGTAATATTAACTGGAGTAAATTTTTCATTTTTTTTATCGCATCACAAATGACAGTGTCATTAGTGTTATTTTATTCTAAAGTAAAGTAAGAGCCCTAACAAATTTTGCTTGAAATACGTGTCAACAAGTATGACCTATCAGTCATTAATGTCATTATAGCCTTATATTTTTGTTGAGAAGCATTTAATAAAAATATCTAACTCCAACTACAAGTTTATTGTTTTCAGGAACGATTGAGGAGACGCGCAATGAGTTTGCGGAACACAACAAACCACAACATGCATTATATTTCCTGTTGATAAACTACACTGATCTACTGTGCCTAGGTCCATTTAGCCCAAAGGACACTTTGCACATGAAAAAGAAGGAGTGCCCTAAGTATGTATTCCAATTGTTACAGATTCCTCGTCGCAACATATGTTTGATGCATCGAAATAAAAGTAACCTCAGGCAGAGGATGCAAGAGAAGACTAACACAGATTACATCACAAAACTCATAATGTGTTATTCAAGGACAAAAAGAATAAGACAGTAGTTGAAAGGAACATATCAATTAATTCCCTTATTTCAACATTGTATCTCTATGGGATGTGATTTTCAACATTATTGACTGGTGTCAAAATTTGATGCAGTAACTAATTAGATTTTACAATGGAGTTATTGCTCATGAGTTTTCTGGCTCACACAAAAAACTGTTAATATGCTTTTGGGAAAAATAAATGTTGCAACTCAAGCGATTAAAAAGTTGTGAGATAGAAATCAGAAAATCTACAACTGTCAATATTCATTCCGTCATTAGAACTCATAGAACTTACACTTTTTTTTTACAAGACCAAGAGTTGCATTTCAGCATACATGGACAATACCAAATAAATATTTTGAATTGCATATTTACATAGCTTAATTGAATGGTTTTGAACACTTTTATAATGCTGAAATTCACCAAAATAAGCGAATTATTATTTTTTTGACAAAAACAGAATAATAGATAAAAATACATCAATCACAGCGAAAAGTTGAGTGGTCAGGAAAAAATAAAAATGGACCTGGAAAAGGATTAAAAATGTCCACAATAGGCTAATAAAAAGTTTTTATTCCAATCTTGGTATAAGATTATTATTTTTCACTGATATTTTCATTGTTTTTGTCGTTTTTCTTCATTATTCCAGTTTTCTCGTTTTCAATATTTTTGGTCACCAATATCCCTATAACTTTTTTATTAAGTATCCAAACCTCATCAAATTTTCACAGTATGTTCAGTGACCAATAATAAACATTTGAATAACCTAGAATTAAGATAACTAACTTAGAAAAGAAAATATATAAAAAAGAATTCACCCACACCCCTATTTTTTACATAAAAAATGGGGTCACAATTTCTGACCCTGTATATTTATAACCAGTCATTGCATCAAAAAGTCCTGTTATACAAAGTTTTATTATAGGATAAATAATCTATGTTTAAAATCTGATAGCAATAACTTAATATTTGTAAAAGCCTTAGTGCTTTAAAAAACACTAAAAAAATAAAAATGGCGGAGGTTTTTATGGGCTACGAAGGCAACCAATGGAAATTTTTTTTTTAAAAACCTGTTTTGTACCTCCATTACAATACCAAATAAGGTGTAGGTAAAAAAAATCCTATATGAAGCCAAACAAAAATGTTAGATTTTTCACCCACACCTCCCCTTCCACGTCTAACCACATTTAGGTCACCGATCCCAATGATTTAGGTCAGTGATCCCAATGATTTAGGTCAGCGATCCCAAATGATTTAATTGAATGATCCCAATGATTTGGGTCAGCGATCCTAATGATTTAGGTCAGTGATCCCAATGATTTAGGTCAGCAATCCCAATGATTTAGGTCAGCAATCCCAATGATTTAGGTCAGTGATACCAATGATTTAGGTCAGCAATCCTAATGATTTAGGTCAGTGGTCCCAATGATTTAGGTCAGCAATCCCAATGATTTAGGTCAGGAATCCCAATGACTTAGGTCAGCAATCCCAATTATTTAGGTCAGCAATCCTGATGATTTAGGTCAGCAATCCCAATGATTTAGGTCAGCAATCCCAATAACTTAGGTCAGCAATCCCAATGATTTAGGTCAGCAATCCCAATGATTTTGATAAAATAAAAATTGTCAAAAAATCTAGAATTACGCGCTGAAAAATATTTATATTTGCCCCCATTGTGCTGAAAATAACGATACATCGTCTAGACCCCTCTCCCCCTCATACATTACATCATCTAGACCCCTCTCCCACCCATACGTTACATCGTCTAGACCCCTCCCCCCTCATACGTTACATCGTCTAGACCCCTCTCCCCCTCATACACATTTCACTCTTCCTTTACATAACTCCATGTCATCAATAAATAAACGTGAACTTTCCGATACGAAAAATCAATCAATAAAACCATTGACCACAGCCAGAGCTTGTGACGTACTTGAAAACTTGTTCACACGAGAAACTGCTGGCCACTATTCCAGGAAAGCAATAGAAAACAAAAGTGTGTGTTCATGGGTGTTCTTGTTTACACGAAGCAGGGGCGTAGGCAGGTGGTGGGTCGGGGGTGGTCCACCTTTGCAGCACTTTTTATATTTATATAGGTGTGGCGGTATTTTGGGCGCAAAAGACGCAAGGTGTAACTTTATTTTACTATACATTACAACTTTACTACTGATTATTATGACACATTGGAATTTTAATTGCCAAAATTCTATACAGTTGATTCGAGAGATATTTTCTTTGATTACGTGGGATGACATGAAGTAACAAGCTCAATGCAGTCCTTGGTGACGGATGGAAAAATATAGGTCTACACTTCAAGTGAAACTAAATTTGAAAAAATGCTTTAGAATTCCTCGGCCCGCAGAAGTTAGGACCCAGGAGCAGTAGCCATTAAAACAACTTTAAATGTATCCATTGTGATTTTATGCATATTATTGTAAGTAGCCTGCAGTTAATTATAGTTCAATAAATATTTATACTATTTTAAATATCATTTCAATGATTTGATTTTATGCCGCCCCCCTCGGCTTATGTTACCCAAAATTAAAGACGTCATTTCGTTGGGTCTTACAGTAAGTCCACCACCACAATAATGACACAGTTTGCACACTAATTTTAACTTAGTATCATGCATGGCCATGATGGTGTTTGATAGTTGAATCGTTTTATAGAAGGTTAAATACATATTTCTCTCATGCTAATTCTCTTGATTAAGCTCCAATACTATTTGATTTTTTTGAAATATTTTTGTTTTGTAACTACCACAAGAGAAGTAAATCGATTTTAATTTAGTATTTAAAAAACATCTCATAAGTTTGTATGACATGACATATTCATGGTTTTAGTACAAGAAAATGTAACTACAAAAAGAGTATAAATAATTTAAGTCTGTTCTATATGAATACAAGAGACTTAAGCCTCGCCACACTTCTCTTTAGCATACTCACTAGGTCTACTTTGTTAAGCTTCAAACCTTGAATCTGCAGCTGAGTGGCTCATCTAACTAGTCTACAGCTCAGTGGCTCATCTGACCAGTCAACAGCTCAGTGGCTCATCTGACCAGTCATCGGCTCAGTGGCTCATCTGACCCATCTTTTAGTT